AATTGGTGGAAAAAAAAATTCAAACTTAGATTTCTCTGACTTCGGAGCTGGAAATCCTAACTGCATCGTCCTCTGCTGTCCAATAGAGCAGCCACTAGGCATGTTTGGCTATTTCAGCACTTCGAAACGTGGCTAGTCCACATTGAGATATGTGTAAGTGTAAAACACACACTGGATTCTGAAGACTTAAAAAAAAAAAAAAAGGAATGTAAATAGTTCATTAATTAATAATTTTTTAATATTAATTACCTATTGAAAGCATACTATTTTGGTTATGTTTAAAAAAAAACACAAACCCACTGCCATCGAGTCAATTCCGACTCATAGTGACCCTATAGGGCGGGGTAGAGCTGCCCCATAGAGTTTCCAAGGAGCACCTGGTGGAGTCAAACTGCTGACTTTTTGGTTAGCAGCTGTAGCAATTAACCACTAAGCCACCAGGGTTTCCTTGGATACGGTGGGTTAAATTAACTATATTATTAAAATTAATTTCACCTGTTTGTTTTTACTTTTTTTTTTTAATGTGACTACTAGAAAATTTAAAATTATATTTGGAGCCCTGGTGGTGCAGTGGTTAAGAGATAGGGCTGCTAAACAAAAAGGTCGGCAGTTCAAATCCACCAGCCGCCCTATGGGGCAGCTCTACTCTGTCCTATAGTGTCGCTATGAGTTGGAATTGACTTGACAGTGTTGTAGAGGAAAAACATACAGTTTAGTAAAGCAAAGAGAAAGTTTTATTTGGCATATATTCAAAAGGACAAAAGTGGGAAGTGGACAAGCATGCTGCCAGAGATAGAATGTCTGCCCCAATCCGAGGGAGGTTACAGAATCATCCGTATATATGAACATCACAGAATGGAGAGAATCATTGAAAGAGCCACCTTTCAACAGATTGGCTAGAAATTGTGATCTTACATTTTGAATCATCTTTCTTAACAATCATTGGTACAGGTTTCAGTAACGACAGTCAGGAGGGTCTTCATTGGTCCAACCAATTTCTATTCACTAAACACTAATAGAAAAAGACAAAAAGTGGGAAGTCTTTTGTGTTAGGTTTCATTGCCCTCTTGTGAAAACTTCGTTAAAATAATTACTGAGATTGTCCCATCTATTGTCTATGTCCCTGCCCAGGTGATGTGTCTTTGTGAGTCTACGAGGGCCCAGCTCCAGCTGGGTCACATTTCTCCATGCTCAAGGTCAGGGAATAATGATTCCAAATATTAGTTTCTAAATCAACAGCAATGGGTTTGATTTGTTTTTTGGTTTCTGTGGCTCATGAATTGCTCTAGTAAGTATAAACTGTTGATAGTATTTATTTTTTAGTGCCGCCATTGTTAAGAGAAATTTATTGTCTCCTAGTTCCAGAATCAGGGTACCAGTCCTTCGATTCCTTCTAGATGCTCCGAGGTTGAATCTGTCCCATGCCTCTCCCAGGTTCTGATGAAGACATGTGATCCTCGGCATTCCTTATCCCTCCACTGACTCCGTCTTCACATGGAGGTCTTCCCTCTGTACCTCTGTTTTTTCCTCTCTTTCATAAGGACACCACTCAGATTACCTACTCCAATATGGCCTCATGTTAATTTAACTGATAACATCTTCAAAGATCCTATTTCCAAACAAGTTAAATTCACAGGTAGAGAGGGTGGGGTGGAGGTGGGACAGTGGGGGAGGGAGGGTTAGGGTTTCCACATTTCAGGTGGGACACAATTCAATCCATACCAAACCAAAACACCCTTTGCTGTTGAGTCAATTTGGACTCATAGTGACCCTATAGGACAGAGTAGAACTGCCCCCACGGAGCTTCCAAGGCTGTAAATCTTTATGGAAGCAGACTGTCACATCTTTCTTCCACAGAGCAGCTGGCAGGTTCAAACCGGTGACCTTTCTGTTAGCAGCCGAGTGCTTAACCACTGCACCACCAGGGCTCCTTCAATCCATAACAAAGTGTTAAAAAAAAAAAAACCAAAATCACCAGGCTGCATTGCTTCATCTGGAGTTGATTTATTTCTAGGAGGGGAAGAGGTAGAAAAACGCTTCTTCCCCTGGGCCTTCTTTACTCCCACACAGTGTTACTGCCATCAATTTTGGCAGATGCATTTTATTAAAAATATTGGCTAACCAGTGATTTGCTAAAGGTATACACCAGAAGGTATTTTAAAAAATAAATAAAATAAAACAGCCATGGAAAGTCAATCTTGGATTCCATCTTCCAACCAACTGCATTTCGTTAAACTAGTCAGCACCCGCCACCGAGCCTGTGTTCTGTCAGTCCTACTGCAGGCTAATCCCTTAAAGCATGAAAGGACTTTTAAAAATCTCAAGGGACTACAAAGATCGCGTAAGCAGTTTAAAGGCTCTAAAAGACTAGAATTATCTAAAATATTTTTTTTCTTCCTAAAACCTGCTTCATTTCAATTCGAAACATTTCTTCACTCCTCTGTACCAATTTATTGATTCTGAAGAGGGAAGAAATATTCAAAAGTAGAAGGTACTTCTTTTACCTCTGTTAGATGCTGTGACTTCTACCTCAAAGAGGGGACGGTGGGCGTTCAGTGGTAGAACTCCTGCCTGCCATGTGAGAGACCTAGGCTCCATTCTTGGCCAATGTACCTCATGTGCAACCGCCACCTATCTGTCAACGGAGGCTTGCGTGTTGCTATGATGCTGAACAGATTTTAGCAGAGCTTCCAGACCAAGACAGACTAGGAAGAAAGGCCTGGCAATCGACTTCCAAAAAATTAGACAACGAAAGACCTACGAATCACAATGGTCTAATCCCGCCGTGCATGGGGTCCCCAGAGTCAGGAGCTGACTCAATGGCAGCTAACCACAACTACCTCAAGGTCAAGTGGGAATCTTACACTTAGTGGGTTCATTTATTTGTGTGGCTCGGTAGCTATCAACCCTGGTTTCTGTATTGGGGAATTTTGAAAAGCAGAAATGCTCAAGCCTTGCCCCTAGAAACTCTGATCTAATGAATATAAAGTCTACCTCAGCCGATGAAGAAACTCTGATGCATAGCTAAGATTAAGAACAGCAGAACTAGTGTGTAAAACTTAAAAAAAAAATCAGTTCACACCTAGGTCTCTCTCCTCTCCCCTCCACCTGTGAAGGTACCAAGCACCTCTGATCAAATTTTGTCTTCTTAAGAGAATCTCCCTGGCTTAGACTCAGAAACTACCATTAGTGTTACCATTAGCATCACTCATTAATCCAATGATTATGCACTGTGTATATGTGTGTGTATGTGAACTAGGGTATAATTCTTCAAGGAGAGCAATAGTCTCTTTACGTTTATCATGTACCATTCTAGCACAATGCCCTTCACATAATAGGTTCTCAATAAAAAAGGATGCTTCAAAAATACAAATGTAATTTGGATCTGATGAGACGTTTATAAATGCAGAAATACAGCAATGTATACTACCAAACCAAAACCAAACCCATGGCTGTCGAGTCAATTCCGGCAATGAACTGCTCCATAGGGTTTCCAAGGAGCAGGTGGCGGATTTGAACTGCCGACCTTTTGGTTAGCAGCTGACCTTTTGGATAGTAGCTGAGCTCTTAACCACCGTGCCACCAGGGCTCCAGCAATGTATATTATTCACCCTGAAAGCAGAGAATACCAGAAAGATGTTTACCTGTGTTTTATTGACTATGCAAAGGCATTCGGCTGTGTGGATCACAACAAATTATAGATAACATTGCAAAGAATGGAAATTCCAGAACACTTAATTGTGCTCATGTGGAACCTCTACATAGACCAAGAGGCAGTCATTTGAACAGAACAAGGGGATACCGCACGGTTTAAAATCAGGAAAGGTGTGCATCAGGGGTAGTATCCCTTCACTATACTTATTCAGTCTGAATTCTGAGCAAATAATCTGAGAAGCTGGACTATATGAAGAATGCTGTATCAGGATTGGAAGAAGACTCATTAAAACCCGCAATTTGCAGATGACACAACTTTGGTTACTGAAAGGGAAGAGGCTTGAAGTGCTTAACTGATGAAGATCAAACACCACAGCCTTCAGTATGGATTACGCCTCAACATAAAGGAAACAAAAATCCTCACAACTGGACCAATAAGCAACATCATGCTAAACGGGGAAAAGGTTGACGTTGTCAAGGATTTCATTTTACTTGCATCCACAATTAATGCTCATGGAAATAGCAGTCAAAAAATCAAATGACATATTGCATTGGACAAATCTGCTGCGAAAGACCTCTTTAAAGTGTTAAAAAGCAAAGATGTCACCTTGAGGACTAACATGAGCCTGACTCAAGCCATGGTATTTTCAATCGCCTCATATGCATGCTAAAACTGGACAATTAATAAGGAAGACCGAAGAAGAACTGATGCCTTTGAATTGTGTTGGCAAGAATATTCAATATACCACGGACTTCCAGAAGAACTACCACATCTGTCTTGGAAGAAACACAGCCAGAATGTTCCTTAAAAGCGAGGATGATGAGACTTCATCTTACATGCTTTGGACATGTTATCAGGAGGAACCAGTCCCTGGAGAAGGACATCGAGCTTGGCAGAGTAGAGGGTCAGCGAAAAAGAGGAAGACCCTTAACGGATGGATTAACACATTGGCTGCAACAATGGGCTCAAACACAGCAAAAGATTGTGAGGATGGCGTAGGACCAGGCAGTGTTTCGTTCTGTTGTACATAGGGTCGCTATGAGTCGGAACCCACTTGGCACCTAATAACAGTTACAATATGTTTCTCATTTTAACTAACCGTGCTGTCGGCATAATGCTGCTTTTTAAAATAAGGCTAACGAAGCCCACTCCTTAGTTTCTCTCCCACTAGCCTCGGCTTCCGCTGGCGAGATGTCTCAACATGCAGACGAAGAGCAGGTCTCGACCAATCAGAAAGCCAGGCTCGAGCCGCTTGCACGCCCTGGAGGTGTGATTGGCCGTTTCCCGCCGGAAGGGACCCGCCCTTGGCAGGAACCAATCGTCGCTAGGAGGCGGAAGGGGCAAAACCCGCGCGAGCGGTTTAATATGGCGGAGGACGCCGCTTCAGCGGTTTTGAGTCCGCGGGGCTGTGCGGACGGGGAGGATGCCAAAGCTACAGAGGAGCGAGTGGCAGAAACGACGGGAGACCACCAGGAGCAGTTCGAGTGTCAGGAACTGCTCGAGTGCCAGGTGCAGACGGGGAACTCCGCAGAGGAGGAGGACGCGGGCCTGGTAGCCGAGGCCGAGACCGTGGCCGCCGGCTGGATGCTCGATTTCCTCTGCCTCTCTCTTTGCCGGGCCTTTCGCGACGGCCGCTCCGAGGACTTCCACCGGACCCGCGACAGCGCCGAGGGTGAGTGCGAGGAGCGCTGGGGCCGGGGGCCGCGTCGCTTCGGGAGATGGGAGTCACGGGGGGCGCCTTAGGCCTAGTTTCCAGCGCGGCTCCCAGTGGTGTTGGAAGAAAGGGGCTGCTGCCGCGGAATAGTGGAGGGTCCCCAGCTCTTGGTTGAGACTGGGTTCAAATCCTGGTTCCGCCGCTTATAAGCTGAATGGTCTTACTTTTTCATTTTAGGTAAAATGAGGGTAATAATACTCCTGTTTAGGTTTGATAAAAAATTAAACGGGTTAAAATATGTAAAATTGCACCTAATCTAGTTTCCAGCTACTTTTGTCTTCTTTGGCGCTTGTATTTGGTTGTTTCTTCTACACAGGTATTCCTATAGTAGCGGTTCATTCAGTCACTGTGGCCTCCAAGTGACATCCATGCATCAGTGTTTTCTGTTCATTTGTGAGCCTTTTAAATCTCATTTGACCTACTTGCTTAGTATAGTCCTCAGGGTAAAAGTAATTGTCAGTGAAATCTACCTACACAGCCTGTAATTGATGGACAAAAGACTTAGCCCCCTAGAGAAGACTAGTGCATCTTTTTGAAAGATGGTAAGAAGGATGCTGTGTTATTATTTCAGAGTTGACACTAAAGTTAATGGCAGCTGAATGCAGCTGTGTCCAAGATAGCATTTAATAGAAAATTCTGGGAAAACCATATTAACAGATTTCATCTTTATGATAATCCCATGAATTAGGCAAGTAATAGTTTCAGTTCGTAAAGGAGTGAACTGGTTAAGCAAACTAAGCTACTGGTAGGTTAAAAAGGGTGCTCTAAACCCAGGCCTTATCTTCCAATTCAAGGGCCTTTCCTCTATATCACAGGTAACACTGGAGCCATGGATTATTTCAATTAATTAGAAAGGTAAATCCTGGAATGAAGCTAATTCACCATAATTAGAATTATTAAAAAGACCTCTTTTGGGAGGAAACCAGCATGATCTGTATGGTAATGAGTTAGAGACATCAGTGTGAACTTCTGTTTAGGTTAATATAAACCAAAAAACAAACTCATTGCCATCCAGTTGATTCCAACTCATAGCGAACCTATAGGTACCCCCCAAAGAAACAAACCCATTGCCATTGAGTCGATTCTGACTCATAGCAACCCTATAGGACAGAGTAGAACTGCTCCATAAGGTTTCCAAGGAGCGGTTGGTGGATTCGAACTGCCGACCTTTTGGTAAGCAGCCTAACCCCTAACCACAGTGCCATCAGGGCTAAAATATAGGTACAGGTGGTTAGACATAGAAATATATGTGTGTCTAGTCATGGGTTAGTTACACACATATTTCCTTGCTCTGTCAGCTGAGAGGGCATAGAGGCAACAAAACCCCGGTAGCAACAAGCACACCAAGAGACCAGATAAAGGGAACCTAGGGTTCCTTGGAGAATAACTGAATCCAGGACCTGGGCAGGAAAGATAAGCATGGGACATCTTGTGCCAGAAAGTAAGGAAGTGCTTTTCAAAAAACCCACAATGGTGGGGGCGTGTAAAAGGGACACAGGAGCCAACTGAAAGAGCCCCCAGAGGCCAAAGCTGCAACAACTTGAACGAGAAAATAAAGTAGAATTGGATCAGCACCCAAAGTATGAAATACCCATGAGTCCATACTGGTGTAAATAAATGACTGATGTAAATAAATCACTGGATAAAGAAATAATTGGGAGTAGATACAAATATCCCCTGCAGAAGAATTCCAGATAATTTATGTAGCTATTCTGCCCTCAGAGGAGGTGGAGCCTAACTCTTCACTCCTTAAGTGTGGGCTGCACGTAGTGACTTTCAAAGCGTACAGTGTGGAAAGAGGAAAAAAGAATAACTTCACATTGTAGAAACCTGAGAAACACTGTCTCAGCTAGGTGATCAAAATCAACATCAACAGGAATAAGTCGTGTTGGTAGTGTGTATGCTTGCTAAGTGATGAAAATGGAACTTTACCTCTGTGGTCTTCCTCCCTAAAACCTGTAACTCCATTCTAATCATAAGAAAAACACCAGATAAATCCCAGTTGAGAGACATTTTACAAAATACCTGACCAGTACTCATAATGGTCAAGGCCATCAAGAACAAGGAAAGCCTGAGAAGCTGTCACAGCCAAGAGGCGCCTAAGGAGACATGATGACTAAATGTAATATGGGATCCTAGAACAGAAAAAGGACATTAAGTAAAAACTAAGGAGGTATAAAGCTTGGATTTTAGTTAATGATACTGTATCAATATTGGTTCATTAACTGTAGCAAATGTACCATATGGATGTAAGATGTTAGTAATAGGGGAAACTGGGTGCAGGGTATATGGGAACACCCTACCATCTTCACATTAATTCGTAAATTTAAAATTGTTCTGTAAAATAAAGTTTATTGTAAAAAAAAACAAAGAAGACTTCTTTCAAGCTTGTACCTCAGGAGGACCCAAGGAATAACCTAGGTCGCCTCCATTTTTTTAAGGTTAAGGGCAGGAATAAAACGGAGACGATTCTCAGAGAGAGTAAACTGTTTTTCAAATTGCACTGCTAATTACTGGTGGATATTCAGATTGTGAGCATAGTCTCTGTATTCCCATTTTCAACTCCTAGAGGAAAATATGTAATTCAGTGTTTTTGAGAAAAGTCTTAGCTCTTTCATTCAGACATGGAATAATTCTCACACCTACCTTTCTCAGGTAATACCTTTTCCAGACTGCTATTCCTAATTGTTCTTATGAACACCCAGCTCATTGGATGCTCATACTATTTGGCTCTGCCACCTTTTGCTCCCCTTATTGCCATCTTCCACTGATCTAGATATTCTTCCTTATTTATTGTAGGTTTCGGCAGCTAGCTCATAGTTGACTTCTCCATTCCACTACTTTCCCATCATGCTGGGTGATTGTAGCATTCCTGTAGGTAACTCTTCTGATAGCATGACTTCTCGGTGCGTTGACTTTTTTATCTTCATCGTCTTCTGTAGCATACCGTACCCCTCCAAAATTGCAAAATTCATACACTTTGACTCTCTGATCTTAACTTCCTGCCATTCTTTGTTGCTAAACTACCTGCACTCTACCTGTTCTTAAAACTAGCCTGCCATAGGATGGAGCATAAGGATTGAGAGCAGAGGCTCTAGAGTGAATTTTCTGAATTTGATTCCTGGCTCTGCTATTTTGTAGCAGTGAGACTTAAAGCAAATTACTCTCTTGCTACATCAATTTCTTCATCTGTAAAATTGCAATAATATACCTCATAGGGAAGTTGAGAGGAACAAAGGAATTGATACATATAAAGCAAGGTTTTTCAACCTTTGAGGTTTGTATTGTTGTTCGTAGATTCCGTCGAGTTGGTTCCGACTCATAGCGACCCTATGTACAACAGAACAAAACAGTGCCCAGTCCTGCACTATCCTCACAATCATGGTTATGCTTGAGCTCGTTGTTGCTGCCACTGTGTCAGTCCATCTCATCGAGGGTCTTCCTCTTTTTTGATGATCCTTCACCTTACCAAGTGTGATGTTCTTCAGGGACTGGTCCTGCCTGATAATATGTAAAAAGTATGTGAGACAAAGTCTCGCCATCCTTGCCTCTGAGGAGCACTCTGGCTGTACTTCTTCCAAGACAGACTTGTTCATTCTTCCGGCAGTCCATGGTATATTCAATATTCTTTGCCAACACTGTAATTCAAAGGCATCAATTATTCAGGCTTCCTTATTCATTGTCCAGCTTTTGCAAGCATATGAGGCAATTGAAAATATCATGGCTTGGGTCAGGCACACCTTAATCCTCAAGGTGAGGTCTTTTTAATACTTTAAAGAGGTCTTTTGTAGCAGATTTGTCCAGTGCAATACATCGTTTGATTTTTTGACTGCTGTTTCCATGGGCATTGATTGTGGATCCAAGTAAGATGAAATCCTTGACGTCAGTATTTTCTTTGCTTATCATGATGTTGCTTATTGGTCCAGTTGTGAGAATGTTTGTTTTCTTTATGTTGAGGTGTAATACATATTGCAGGTTGTTAAATGAGTCTTCCTCTAGTCCTGATGACCTGTTCTTCTTCATATAGTCCAGCTTCTGAGATTATTTGCTCAGCATACAGATTGAATAAGTATGGTGAAAGGATACAACCCTGACGCATACCTTTCCTGATGTTAAACCACACAGTATCCCCTTGTTCTGTCAGTTTGTCATACTGTGGTGGCTTCTGTCAGTTTATCATACTGTGGTGGCTTGAGTTTTGATGTGATGCTGGAACCTTTGCCACCGATATTTCAAATACTGGCAGGGCCACCCATGGTGGACAGGTTTCAGCAGAGCTTCCAGACTAAGACTTGGAAGAAGGACCTGGCAAACTACTTCCAAAAAAATTGGCCAGTGAAAACTGTATGAATAGCAGCAGAACATTGACATTTGGGCCCATGTAATTCTTTGTTGTGAGAGGCTTGCCTGTGTATTGTAAGATGTTTAGCAGCATCCTTGTTTTCTGTCATCTAGATGCCAGTAAGCACCCCTTTCTCATTCATGACAATCAGAAAGGTCTCCAGACATTGCCAGTTGTCCCCCATTGAGAACCGCTGACATCAAGTGCTTAGAGTAGTGCTTGGCCTGTAGTAAGGGCTCAGATGTAGGTGCCTTTATTTTTATTAGCCATTCGATCCTCACTAATGTGTTTTTCTGCCGGGAGTGCTCAATTACAGTTATGGAACGAGCAGATAGTCCGGTTCAACCAGGGTAGGTTTTTTTTGTTGTAATTTTTTTTTTTCCTAGCAAGTACAAAGACAGAAGGGCAATGGTATGTAGGTTATATGTAAGTACTGCATAGCAGACTAACTTGAGTATGAAGGGAAGTGAAGACAGGAGGCGTCTGACTTCCTTCCTAGAATCAATGAGCTCTTCCTTTTGTTTTGTTCCCACACTATGCTGTACTTATCCTTTGTGGCACCCATTAAAATTTTAATTAGTCATTTGCATGATTTTCGGTTTAATTTGTACCTTCTTAGTCAATCTAAAATCTTCTTGAGGGGCAGGGACTGGCTGTCTCATTTATGTTGGAGTCATCAGCACCTAACAGGCTAGCAGTAGATGTTTAGTAAATATTTCTTATTGAGTAAATTCTGTATTCAAGTTTTATACAAATTTTGTGCTCTCTTTAAATCTTATTTAATTCTATTATGACTGTATTTGGTCCAGATAATTTCTGGTGTAGCATAAGATTAATGGCATCTTAAAATTGAAGAAGTGGAGTAAATCTATTTGTTGTATATTATCTGCTTAGTGGGTGCAGGATTCTTTTTTAGTTGCTTTTTAGTAGCCTTTTTGTATACACCAGCCAAGCCCTGGCTGAAGTGTAATGCTAATAGTGACTCCCTTAGATCTTAGCTTAAACATTATTTCCTCAAAGAAACTTTCCCTGACACCCCCCCCCCAATAAAAGAGAGTCTTTTCTATATGCTTCCCTAGTATTCTGTACTTGTCTTTTTTCAGTTTTCACCACATTTGTACTTTAGTTATTCAATCACTTGTCTTCATTGCTATGTAGTAATAAGTTCAGTGAGGTCAGGAATTATGGCTTGTCACCACTGAGTGTACTCACTTCCTAGCACAGCATCTGAGTGACAATAAAGCTTTGTAAAACTCATGTAACTGAAACCTTATCAGGAATAATGTAAACTATGTCCTATAATATTAAGAATTTTAAAGTTTATAGAGAAATAAGAGCCGCCACACGAATAGATATATGCACACCCATGTTCACTGCAGCACTGTTCACAATAGCAAAAAGATGGAAATAACCTAGATGCCCATCAACAGATGAATGGATAAACGAATTATGGTATATGCACGCAGTGGAATACTACGCAACGATAAAGAACAATGATGAATCCCTGAAACGTCTCATAACATGGATAAATCTGGAAGGCATTATGCTGAGTTGTCATGGATTGAATTATGTCCCTCCAAAAATGTGTGTATCGATTTGGCTGGGCCATGATTCCCGGTATTGTGTGATTTTCCCATGTGCGGTAAATCCTGCCTCTGTGATGTTAATGAGGGAGGATGGGCAGCAGTTGTGTTAGTGAGGCAGGACTCAGTTTAGGAGACTGGATTGTGTCTTGAGGCAATCTCTTGAGATATAAAAGACAGAAGTGAGCAGTGAGACGGGGACCACATACCATCATGAAAGCAGTGCCGGGAGCAGAGTGCATCCTTTGGAGCTGGGTCCCCGCACAAAGAAGCTCCTAGTCCAGGGGAACACTGAAGAGAAGAAGGCCAAGAGAGAGAAGAAGCCTTCCCCTGGAGTTGATGCCCTGAATTTGGACTTTTAGCCTACTTTAACTGTAAGGAAATAAACTTGTCTTCATTAAAACCATCCACTTGTGGTATTTCTGTTACAGCAGCACTAGATGCCTAAGACATGAGTGAAATCAGTCAATTGCAAAAGGACAAATATTGTATGAGACCGCTATTCTAAGAACTCAAGAAAAGGTTTAAACACAGAAGAAAACATTCTTTGATGGTTACTAGGATGAGGAGGGAGGAGGGGAGAATTAACTAACTAGATAGTAGACAAGGATTATCTTAGGTAAAGGGAAGGACAACACACGACACGGGAAGTCAGCACCGCTGGGCTAAACCAAAAGCCAAGAAGTTTCCTGAATACAAGCAAACACTTCAAGGAACAGTGTAGCAGGTGTAGGGTTCTGGGGACCATGGTTTTGGGGGACATCTAGGTCAATTGGCATAACAGAGTTTATTAAGAAAATGTTCTGCATCTCACTTTGGTGAGTGGTCTTAAAAGCTAGTGAGCAGCTGTCTAAGATGCATCGATTGGTCCCAATCCACCTGGAGCAAAGGAGAATGAAGAACACCAAGGACACAAGGAAAATATTAGCCCAAGAGACCAAAGGGGCCACATAAACCAGATACTCTGTCAGCCGGAGACCAGAAGAACTAGATGGTGCCCAGCTACCACCAATGAGACGGAACACAACAGAGAGTGCCTAACGACACAGGAGAAAAGTGGGGTGCAGAACTCAAATTTTAGTAAAAAGACCAGACTTAATGGTCTGACTGAGACTGGAGGAACCCCAGAAGACTTGGCCCCCGGACTTTGTTAACCCAGAACTAAAACCATTCCCGAAGCCAGCTCTTCAGACAAAGATTAGACCGGACTGTAAGACATAAGATGATACTTGCGAAGAGTGTGCTGTGCTTAGTACAAGTAGACACACGAGACTGAATGGGCAGCTCCTGTCTGGAAGCAAGACGAGAAGGCAGAAAAAGGGATAGGAGCTGGTTGAAGGGACACAGGAATCAGGTGGAAAGGAGGAGTGTTCTGTCACATTATAGGGAGAGCAACTAGTGTCACATAAGAATGTGTGTATAAATTTTTGTATGAGAAACTAACTTGAGCTGTAAACTTTCACCTAAAGCATAATTAAAAAAAAAAATTTCTAAAGTTTAAAATAAGCTTCCAGTTAGTGATTTCTTGTGTCTTGTATATCTAAATCTTTTTTGTCAGTGTAAAGCGCTAGTTGTGAAATTGTCAGTATTTACTACACTACAAGTGAAGCATTGGTTTTATTTCACAAGAAAGATATTTATTGTTAGTCTTTTTTTATTCCTGTTTCTCAAAATTGTAAGTAATGAAAGCATACAGTCCTGAATATCTGATAATTTTTGTAAGATAACTGTAACCTGTTACTCTGCAAACCACACAGTGGCACTGCTGGCTCAGGGTTGGTTTTGATTTTCTTTTAATAAAATGCATTTTTCTTTTTCAGCTATTATTCATGGACTGTCCAGTCTAACAGCTTACCAGTTGAGGACTGTATACATATGTCAGTTTTTGACAAGAGTTGCAGCTGGAAAAACCCTTGGTAAGTATGTGTTTTCATCTTATATTTCAGTCGACGTCTAAAGGTGAGCCAATGAGGAAAGGAGGCAGGGGCTGTCATTTGGTTTTCCAGTTTGCCCACACGTGTCTAGCATACACGCATGCGTGCGCACACACACACTTACGCGCACATACACTCTCACACTCACTCACTAATTCACTCACTCACTCTCATAGTTGTTGTTAGGTGCTGTCAAGTAGCTTCCAGCTCACAGCAATCCTGTGTACAACAGATCGAAACACTGCTCGATCCTGCACAATCCTCACAATCGTTGCTATGTTTGAGTCCATTATTGCAGCCGCTGTGTCAGTCTGTCTCGTCGAGGGTCATCCTGTTTCATTGACCCTCTACCTTACCAAGCGTGTCCTTCTCCAGGGACCGGTCCCTCCTGATAATGTCTCCAAAGCATGTGAGATGAAATCTCTCCATCCTCGCTTCCCAGGAGCACTCTGGCTGTACTTCCAGATAGACTCGTTCATTCGTCTGGCAGCTTGTGGCATATTCAGTATTCTTCGCCAACACCATAATTCAAAGATGTCAATTCGTTAGTCTTCCTTATTCATTGCCCAGCTTTTACATGCATATGAAGCAATTGAAAATACCATGGCTTGTGTCAGGCTCACCTTAGTCCTCAAAGTGACGTTTTTGCTTTTTAACACTTTAAAGAGGTCTTTTGCAGCAGATTAGCCCAACGCAGTAAGTCATTTTATTTCTTGACTGCTACTTTCATGGGCATTGACTGTGAATCCAAGTAAAATGAAATCTTTAACAATATCAGTCTTTCTCCATTTATCATGATGTTGCTTATTGTTCCTGTTGTGAGGGTGTTTGTTTTACCCTGAGATGTAATCCTTAACGGAGACTGTAGTCTTTGATCTTCATCAGTAAGTGCTTCAAGTCCTCTTCCCTTACAGCAAGCGGAGTTGTGTCACCTGCATATTGAAGGTTGTTAATGAGTCTTCCTCCAATCCTGATGCCTCATTCTTCATGTAGCCCAGCTTCTCGGATTATATGCTCAATATATAGATTAAGTACGGTGAAAGGTTACAACCCTGATGCACACCTTTCCTGATTTTAAACCAAGCAGTATCCCCTTGTTCTGTTTGAACAACTGCTGCTTGTTCTATGTACAGGTTCTTCAGGAGCACAATTAAGTGTTCTGGAATTCCCATTCTTTGCAATGTTATCCATAATTTGTTATGATCCACACAGTTAAATGCCTTTGCATAGACAATACAACACAGATAAACATCTTTCTGGTATTCTCTGCTTTCAGCCAAGATCCATCTGACATCAGCAGTGATAACCCTCCTTCCACATCCTCTTCTGATCTGGCTTGACTTTCTGGCAGTTCCCTGGCGATGTCCTGCTGGAACTCTTTTTGAATTACCTTCAGCAAAATTTTATTTGCATGTGATATCGATGATATTATTCAATAATTTCCACATTCTGTTGGATCACCTTTCTTTGAAATGGGCACAAGTGCGAGCCTCTTCCAGTCGATTAGCCAGGTAGCTGTCTTCCAAATTTCTTGGCATAGACAAGTGACCATTTGCAGTGATGCATCCGTTTGTTGAAACGTCTCTGTTGGTATTTCATGAATTCCTGGAGCCTTGTTTTTCGCCAGTGCCTTCAGTGCAGCTTGGATTTCTTTCTTCAGTACCATCCGTTCTTGATCATATGCTACCTCCTGGAATGGTTGAAAGTCAGCCAATTCTTTTTGGTACAGTGACTGTGTATTTATCTTCTTTTGATGCTTCCCATATAATCCTTCAAAATTCGCAACTTGAGGCTTGAACTTTTTCTTCGGTTCTTTCAGCTTGAGAAATGCTGAGTGTGTTCTTCTCTTTTGGTTTTCTAACTGCAAGACTTTGCTCATTTCACTATAATACTTCACTTTGTCTTGTCAAGTTGCCCTTTGAAATCTGTGCAGCTCTTTACTTCATCATTTCTTCCATTTGCTTTAGCTACTTTATGTTCAAGAGCCAGTTTCAGAGTCTCTTCTACATCCATTTTGGTCTTTTCTTTCTTTCCTGTCTTTTTTAATGTCTTTCCTTGCTTTCTTTATGTATGATATCCTTCACGTCATCCCACAACTTGTGTGGTCTTCAATCATTAGTGTTCAGTGCATCAAATCTATTCTTGAGATGGTCTTCAGATTCAGGTGGGATATACTAAAGGATGTATTTTGGGTCTCGTGGACTTGTTTCAAATTTTTTCAGCTTCAGCTTGAGCTTGCATATAAGCAGTTGATGATCTGTTCCACAGTTGGCCACTGGCCTTGTTCTGACTGATGATATTGCACTTCTCCATCATCTCTTTCTACAGATGTAGTCAGTCTAACTCCTGTGAATTCCCTCCGGTGAGGTGCACATGTATAGTCATTGTTTATGTTGTTGAAAAAAGGTATTTGCAATGAAGAAGTCGTTCATCTTGCAGAATTCTATCATGTGATCTCCTGAGTTGTTTCTATCACTAAGTTCATAATTTCCAACTACCTATCCTGCTTTGTTTTCAGCTTTTGCATTCCAGTCACCTGTAATTGTCAGTGCATCTTAACTGAGTATTTGATCTATTTCAGACTGCAGAAGTTAGTAACAATCTTCAGTTTCTTCATTTCTGGCATTAGTGGTTGGTGTATAAATTTGAATAATAATCGTATTAACTTGTCTTCCTTGTAGGCGTATGTATATTATTCTACACTAACAGTGTTGTACTTCAGGATAGATCTTGAAATGTATTTTTGATGATGAATGTGATGCATTCCTTTTCAATTTGTCATTCCCGCCATACTAGACCATAGGATTGTCCAATTCAAAATGGCTGATACCAGTCCATTGCAGCTCACTAATGCCTAGGATATCGATCTTTATGCATTCCATTTCATTTTTGACAGCTTCTAATTTTTTTATATTCATACTTTGTATGTTCCATGTTCCTATTGTTAATGGATGTTTGCAGCTGTTTCTTCTCACTTTGAGTCATGCCATATCAGCAAATAAAGGTCCCGGAAGCTTGACTTCATCCAAGTCATTAAAGTCAGCTCTACTTTGAGGAGGCAGCTCTTCCACAGTCGTGTTTTGAGTGCCTTTAAACCTGAGAGGCTCATCTTCTGGCATTATATTAGACGATGTTCCGCCGCTATTCATAAGGATTTCACTGGCCAGTTTTTCAGAAGTAGACTACCAGGTCCTTCTTCCTAGTCTCTTACTCTGGAAGCTCCACTGAAACCTGTCCACCATGGGTGACCCTGCTGGTATCTGAAATACTGGTGGCATAGCTTCCAGTGTCACAGCACCATGAGAGCCACCACGGTACGACGGACGAGTGATGGGTATGTGTATGTATGTGTATGTGTGTATATATACTTTCTTTAGATGCATATGTGTATCTAAAGGAAGGTAAAAAAAAATATAGTCCCTGTCTTGAGAGCAGTGATTCTCAATTTCTAGCCTGCATCAGAATTACTTAGACCAAACTCCTTGCCATCGAGTCGATTCTGACTCATAGCTACCATATAGGACAGAGTAGAATTGCCCCATAGGGTTTCCATGGCTGTCATCTTTACGAAGCAGACTTCTTGCGGAGCAGCTCGTGGGTCCATACCACTAACCTTTCGGTGCGCAGCTGAGCGCTTAACCACTGAGCAACCAGGGCTCCTGAATTACTTAGAGGGCTTGTTAAAACACAAGAGTGCTGGGTTTCATTTCCAGAGTTTCTGATTTAGTAGGATGGGTGTGGAACCCTGAAATTTACATTTCTAATAAGTTCCCAGGTAATTCTGATGCTGATATTAGGGAACCCACTTTATAGACCAGTATCTTGGATATTTCAGTTGAAATTTGACTCCTCCTGCTCACTTATTGACTATCTCATTATCTGATATTTTACATTTACAACAACAGTAAAAAAATCTACTATATGACTATTTTGTGCATTAGCAGTGTACTTCTGACAGTAACCCTTTCATGACCAGTGGGACATATAGTGCCCATCTGCATTTTCCATAGGGACATATGTGTCCCACGCAGTATTTTGTGATCTCTGGTCATCCTGCATTTGGCATAATGCTGAATTTGGCATAATGACTTGTGTTTTGAAACCTAACCATGTCCATAGGTGAGGAGTGGCTGTATATGGTAACTTTGTGGTGACTCTTATTATCATATACACTTCCATTTTTTACTGGCAACTATATTAGAAACCTCTTATTTGAACTTAATGTCAGCACTTATTTAAGAGAATGTGGCTTACGTCTATAATGTCTCTCCCTTGTCCCTATAGTTCATTTTGGATTGTAATGGGCAAGCCTGGTTCAGTTTGCTTTACATAGTTCTAAGAGCTGATGGAGGAGCCCTGATCGTACAGTGGTTAAGAACTGAACAGTTGGCGGTTCGAATCCACCAGCTGCTCCTTGGAAACCCAGTGGGACAGTTCTGCCCTCTCCTGTAGGGTCACTGTGGGTCAGAATCGACTCTAAGGTGATGAGTTTTTAAACCCGGTGGGGCAGTTCTGCTTTGTCCTGTAGGGTGACTATGAGTCGGGATCAACTCGACAGCATACAAAAACACCACCAATGGCTGATATTTACAATATTGCAACATGGTTATTTAAATAGCCCTTTGATACAAGTAATTATGTATTTTATTGATTTTTACAGTTTACACAATACTTTCCCAACCTTCGTGAGTGGTAGGCAGTAGTTACATGAAAATGCTTACTAATAAACGTACATTACATGAAATTCCAGCTATGCCCCTCACTAGTCTAGCTCTCTGGCTCATGTAGCCTGCTTTGTGTTGGGGGTGAGGTTAGGTCTGGAGTTGGTACCAGGACAGTCACTGGACAGGACAGGAGCCGGAGTAGATGGGGAGGAGGTAGAACCATAGGTGGATCTGGGCCCATTGCTGTAGAAGAAAACAGGCTGATGTGGACACAGATGGAGAATTCCAAACCATGCAGACTATAAGTTAACAGCATTGTTAGCAGGATTGTTTTCTAGATTAAATGTGATAAACTGTTACAAAGTGCCCAGCAGTGTTTCTCAGGCATTCAAGAAGGAGGTAGGGTTTGAGGTGTGCTTAGAGTGGTTGATAATGTTTTGTCAGAAGGAGAATGTGAAATGGTATTCCAGACAAAAACACTATTTGGAGAATAAAATGTAGTTTACCTAGATTGTAGAACTCTTTATTGCTATTCTTAACTCTCAAGACTTCTCCTCACCCAGGCTTCCTGTATCAGTAACTGGCAGCAGTATTTATCTAGTTGCCAAAACCCAAGAGTTCTCCGTGGTTCTGCCTTTTCCCTCATGCTCCACATCTAATCCAGTAACAAGTCCTTTTCCTTCTAAGTTCAGAATTAGTTCCTTGCACTTAAAGCATTCATTCATTCAATAAATATAGGTAGAAGGCATACAGGGAAGGTTCTTGAATGTCATATTTTGATGTTTGGTGTAATTTAGTAAGGAGTTATGAGCCAGTGTGAGTCTTCAATCAGAATAACCTGATTAAAATTCTGTTTTAGAAAAGCGGAACAGTAGTACAAATGATATCAAGTATTCACACAAATCCTGTGAGAAAGTAGTTATTTTCATCATTTTATGCGTGAGGAAACAGGCTTAGAAGGGTGAAATAACTTTTCCAATACTACAGGGTTAATACGTAATGGAGTCTGGAATAGACTCCAAAGTTTTGTTTTTTTTTTTTAAAACCACTGTATGGTTTTAGTTTTTATACAGTATATTGCAATAGATTGGATATAGTGATGAGAAAGAGGAAGAAGTTAAACAATACCCCTTAGATTTTAAGCTTGGTGACTGGAAGAATGTGGGCAGAGAAATAACCCCTTGAAAGATCCTGTCTCAGTTGTCTGCAAAGTATATAACAAAGATTTCAAATAGTATATGCTAAAAATCAGATTTCAATGTAAACACATTAGTTTTGTGTTCTATCTAGATTTGTTACAGGGCAGTTAGACTTACGAACTATTTAAGAATTCTGTTACTGTGATACTTTATGTTACATAGTTCATTTCAGATTTTAGTCCTTAAGTCAATACTTGAGTAAAAAAGAAAAGCTGCAAATGTTTTGTAGTATCATCTACATTATTCTATATTAAAATTATTTTTGATGAGGAAATTAACTTAGAAAATCAAATCATTTTCCTAAACTGGTATGTAGTAGAACAGTGTCTGACACAGTATACATTTAGTAAATATTTAAAGGAATGAATTTTGTTAAAACTTAATGAAAGTATGGCCGTGCTTAACTTTCTAAGTTATTTATTTTCTTCTCTTTTTAAGATGCACAGTTTGAAAGTGATGAACGAATTACACCTTTGGAATCAGCCCTGATGATTTGGGATTCAATTGAAAAGGAACATCACAAACTTCATGAAGAAATACAGAATTTAATAAAAATTCAGGTTTGAGTATTACCTTGAGCTTATAATTAGTATTTGACTAGGAAAAAAAACTTAATGTCTGAACAAAATAAAATTTTGATGTAATCTTTTTCTTCAGAAATTTGACCTTTGTAATCTTGACATGAACACTGAGGATTATGACTTAATATTTGCTACCCACAGTATATGTTGCCCCCACCTCAGGAAACATACCCAGTCTATTAAAGATCATCAAACAGCAAAATTCAGTGCTTTGTACTCTCCCAATTTCTATTTAAAGATTATAAATATGAAGAAAACCCAGTTTTTATTGATAATAAATTGATGGATTTTTGTGACCAAGAGAATGTATAATTTTAACTATATAAAGTTATTTTAGGAGTAAACTCTTAAAGCATGAAAAGTCAAGACAGTTATTCAAAGATACAGGTAAATAAGCAGGGAAAACATGTTTTGATAACAGGCTAAACAAATACTAGGGATGTTCTTAGTTAAGCAAACTTTTCCACGTTCAGTCTTTTGATTATTTTTACAGGTTGGGTAAGAAGAAAAAATCCTGGTGGTTCCCAACTTCCCAAGAATGAGTTATTGATAGTGTGATTGTCAAGTAGAATTAGAACCTGAGAGAAAAGGTTGAGCTGAAATGTGACTGCTGCTTTTAAGAATTTCAACCCATGGCAAAGAGATTTGTCACACTGTCATAATCTTTTGGGGCTCTAGAATAAGATGGCCTTTATTAATACAGTAGTAGAAACTGAGTGATTAACATCAGAGGATATTTAAAAAAAAACACCCATTGCCGTCAGGTTGATTCCGACTCACAGTGACCCTGTAGGACAGAGTAGAACTGCCCCATAGAGTGTCCAAGAAGCGCCTGGTGACGAACTGCACGCCTTTTGGTTAGCAGCCGTAGCACTTAACCACTACGCCACCAGGGTTTCATCAGAGGATGTAGGAAGCAATATAGCATTTATTATTTACCAGACACTGTTCTAAGCACTTTGCATGTATAACTTTTTAACCCTAACAACAGTTATATCAAATAGCTATTGTTATTTCCACCATTTTACATGTGAGGAAACAGAAGCACCAAGAGGTTTTAAGTATGTTAGCTAGGTTTACACAGCTACCCAAATGATAGTCCGATGTGTAAAACGATTATTGAAAAGCATCTGGCATCCTGGGTTTCTATTAGAGATTTTCCAAGTATCCCAACTTGCAAAATTTTTTAACTAGTTAGTTTTATATATCCTAATTCTCACAAACAACATTGTCTGCCTCCTTCTTCATTTCCTTTTTGTTCAAAATTAATATTTAGGTGCATCTGAACTGTACATAGAATAGCTTCTAATTTAGTAATGCTTGCCTTTTAATTTGGCCTAAAGGAAGAGAGAAAATGCTGGCATTTATTAGTAAACATGCACAGGGCCAGTGATCATTTTTGAGGTCTTTTCAAGCCATACTTTAAAAAAGTATTTTATCATTCATCCATTCAAAATTATTAAACTAAATTAAAATATTTAAATGAAGTGTTTTAGACTTGAGACATTGATGGTAGAATTCTTGCCTTCCATGTGGGAATCCCAGGTTTGATTATGGGCAAGTGCACCGCATGCGCAGCCATGACCCCTGTCAGCGGAAGCTTGCGTGTTGCTGTGATACTAAACAGGTTTCAGCGGAGTTTTCATACTAAGTTGGATAAGAAAGAAAGGCCAGGCTATCTGCTCGTAAAAATCAGCAATGAAAACCCTATGGATCACAACGATCCAATCCGCAGCTGATCATGGGGATGACGGAGTGACAGGCAGCTTTCATTCCATTGTGCATTGGGTCAGCGTGAGTCTGGGGCCATCTTGGCAATAGCTGACAACAACAACATTTTAGATTTAGCTGACTTTCTTCAAAATTAAACAACTATTAGATTAAAAAAAAAAGCAATCTGAGCTATGTATTTGTCATCCTATTTTTTAGGCTATAGCTGTTTGTATGGAAAGTGGCAATTTCAAGGAAGCAGAAGAAGTCTTTGAAAGAATATTTGATGACCCAAATTCTTATACGGTAATTGTTTAAATTAGAATCATAGAATTTTGTAACTGTTTATATGGAATGAGGAAAATTGAAATTAAATTGTGAAAAAATGAATGCTTTATCTTTTAAACAGTATAGAAAAGCGTTGTCCAATAGAAATACAATGGCAGTCACATGTGATTTTAAATTTTCTAGTAGCACATTAAAAAAACAAAAAGAAACAGGTGAAATTAATTTTATTAATTGTTGAGATTAAATTTTAATAATTTTTTATTTAACCCAAAAGATCCAAAAACGTTACCAT